GTAGAAAGATATTTTGTTAGTGGAAAGATAGCAAAACAATAATACTTAGGCCTATGATAAACCGATTCACGAACTAAAATATATAGGGCCTAGGCATATTAAATTTTTCGTTTTCGCAACTCCTTCGGAGCTCCATATATTTGTTCGAAATAAACCGCGACCGAAACGAAGCGCGACCGAAACAAAGCGCGACCGAAACGAAGCGCGACCGAAATGATCGGCTACCGTTAGTTCTCCGTTTAGTAACTCCAGTTAGTTATCCGTTTAGTAACTCTGGTTAGTTCTCTGTTTAGTAACTCCAGTTCTCCGTTAGTAACTTCTGTCATTTCTCCGTTAGTAATTCCTGTTATTTTTCCGTCTGTTATTTTTAAGTTAGTAACTCCTGTTAGTTCTTGTGATACATTACGAAGTTACCCAACTGGACTATCTAGATTTGTAGTAACTCATTATAAGCTAAAAGGAAGCATACTTTTCAGAAAATGTGTTTTTGTTTGAAAATAATAAATGAAGGACAAACAGCACTTTTCAGACTAACAAATTCATTAAATCACAAGCTTTCGACCACGCAGTGGTCCTTCAGGTGAATGTGCAAATAGGATAAAAGAGTGGTCATATATACAGTAAGAACGAAAGGGTGGACGGTGACTGAGTATAAACAAAGGGATAATGAGTCTCAGATGAAACAAAAGATAGGAATAAACAGAAGCAGTCAATATGCAGGAACAGGCAATAGATTATACCCTATAGTGCGACAAAAAGCCTCTGTCTATGTTAAGTCCTAAATTAATGCAGTCAAGTTTAGTAGTATAATTTTGCTCTACAATTTCCCTTTCTAGATTATTCTTAAAATTACCATCTTTAAGAACTTTAACTTTAAGATTACAGTATTAATATTGTGGCCTGGAAAAGTGAAATGTTGAGCAACAGCTAGTTTCTGTGTGCGATTGTGCTTAATGTCAAATTTTGTGTCCATTAAGTCTTTGTCTTAACGTTTGACCTGTTTTACCTATGTAAACCGCTCGGGGCAGATATCACATGTAACGGCATATATGAGGTTGGATGATGTGCAGGTAATGGGTGCCTGTGATCTTGACAGTGTAGTTGTTAGGTCCTATGAGTGTGTCACTGGAATCAATGTGTCTACAGAGTTGGCATGTTTAGCATTACATGGGAATGTGCCAGGTTTATCATTATGGTTGAATTTGCTTCTGACTATCTGTTTTTTCAGGTTGGGTGGCTGTTTATGAGCGATAGTATGTTTATCGGGAAATATATCCTTTAAACTATCATCTTGCAGTAATGGTTGTAGGCTGTCAATGATCTGTTTTATAGGTCTGAGTGTTGGATGATAAGTTATAGTGAGAGGTATGCGGTCAGTAGGAGTCTTATCATTGTAGGAGAGCAAGTCTTTGCGTGGGATACGTTTGCGTGGGATACGTTTTGAAAATGATTAAACTACACCGTACTGAAAGAATAAAGGAATATATTTGTAATCCTTGAAATTGTGCGTATTATTATTTTTTTCCCAACTCTAACAAGCAAATATTAAGCATTAAATAGCTTAGAATAAATTCATCTGTTTTCTGGAGTTATGTATTAACCGTAAATAAAAAGTGACTGCCTCATCTATCCTTTCTCAAGCACTGAAGATAGTGCCAGTCATCACCGTAATAAGTACGGTAAAGTATGGCTCCGCAGCCTATCTGTCTTTGGCCCTTTTTCTTTTATGCTCGCTATTATAATTATGAACAATAACAGTGAGAATATATTCATTTCCTCATGTTTGCTTAATGTTTTTTTTTTTTTGTATAATTTTTTAAAAATAATTAACAGATCAATAAATATATTTTGTATTCTTTGAAGGTTCTACTGGACCTAACTACCTGATAGCGGTGTACATACTCTGTCTTTTTATAGTGGTGATGATTCTAATATCTGTCTTCATCCACAGGTATTATTTTTTTCATACTTAGCTATATTTTATTTAGTGCATTCTTTTTTTCTGTTATGACTGTATTAAATTCATTTTTGATTATATATATAAAATTACAGGCCTATAAAGGTAGCTATGTTATGTTAATACTTGATAACAATAATGGCTAATGACATTTTTTCAAAATATTTAAGGTACCATTCCAAAAACCACAAGAAAATGGAACATAGGCCTTCTACAAATATGATCATGACTGATTCTGATCTCTCAACTCACATTCAAACCAGAGGCATTACAGGTGACTCATGCTCCAAGTCCACAAATGTCGACTGTGCTTAATTCAGTTTTTGGCGCAGTACCAACAACAACGGACACACTAAATGATACCGTACAGAGTATGAAACAATCCCTCTGCATATTAGTGGTGTCGCAGACCAATTTGCGAGGGAAAATTATTTAACCAATGATAATATCAGAGATAACAACAACATCAAATGTAGCAAGTAATACAGAATATGAAATCCGTCTGCCAGCCAGTGGTGTTGACGAAGCTGTTGTAGTACGATCTTTGGAATCACCAAATAGAGATAATTCAGTTCATGATTATATCGAGGCTATACCAACAACACCAAATGTACGGAGTGATACAGAGTATGAAATTCCTCTACCAACCAGTGTCGTTGACGGAGCTGTTGTAGCACGATCTATGGAATCACCAAATAAAGATAATTCAGTTATGTTATATCGAGGTAATACCAACAGCACCAAATGTACCAATTGATACAGAATATGAAATCACTCTGCCAACCTGTGGTGTTGATAGAGCTGCTGCCGCATCCGAATGATGACTTAGTTGAAGATTAGAGATAATTCAGTTCACGATTATATCGAGATTATACCAACAACACCAAATGTACCAAGTGATACAGAGTAGGAAATTCCTATACCAACCAGTGTCGTTGACGGAGCTGTTGTAGCACGATCTTTGGAATCACCAAATAGAGATAATTCAGTTCACGATTATATCGAGATTATACCAACAACACCAAATGTACCAAGTGATACAGAGTAGGAAATTCCTCTACCAACCAGTGTCGTTGACGGAGCTGTTGTAGCACGATCTATGGAATCACAAAATAAAGATAATTCAGTTATGTTATATCGAGGTAATACCAACAGCACCAAATGTACCAATTGATACAGAATATGAAATCACTCTGCCAACCTGTGGTGTTGATAGAGCTGCTGCCGCATCCGAATGATAACTTAGTTGAAGATTATAATATCGAGGTTATACCAATAACTCCAAATGAACCAAGTGATACAGAGTATGAATTCAATCTGCCAACCAATGGTACTGATGGAGCTGAGGGTCTACTTTAATGAACACCATATATCGCTACAATATTTAAGGCTAACCTGAGATATAATGCATGTGTACAGACAATATTAGTATTATTATTGTATTAATTTCACTGTCTAGAAACATACAATATTTTATTTTACAATATCTCGAGATGCCAGTGACGAAGGTAGGCCCACCGATATTGACCCTGTGTTACAGTACACACTGATATTATAATATATCCATCTACACATTGGTATAAATGACATTTTGGTATTTAATAAACATATAACATACCATTTATCATAGTAGTAGTAGTAATAGTAGTAGTAGTTGCAGCAGCAGTAGTAGTGGTAGTGGTAGCGGTTGTGGTAGCGCTACAGGTGGCGTGGTAGTAGCAGAGCAGTAGACCTAGCAGTAGCAACAGCAGCAATAGTTAGTAGTGTCTGCAACAGCAGACGTAGCAGCATTTTCATGGTAAAGTCAAATTTTTTGGCCCTCATAATGCACAAATAACATATAAAAAACAAGGATGTGCTCTATATCACCTCTTATTCAAAGTACCGTACTGTATATTGAAGTAATTTTAAGTCAACGGCTAACGATCTGTTTCCACGTTACCTGCCTGAACGAAGTCAATTAATTAATTAATTAATTAATGTATGCACGATATTGCTTCTTTATTTTTTATTCATTTATTTAAGTTTAGTTTTAAGTAATCAACACATGTGTTTTATTAGGAACATAAAGAAGCTGAAAGATTGTTTTACGTATCAACATAATTTTTTGAATACTTATGACATAAATAACCCCGCATGTATGTTCTGTCTGCTGTATGGGGTTTGACCGATACCCCATACTTAGCTAGGGTGGCCAGCAGCCTGTTTCAGTATACTAGTAGTTTAATTTATGTTTTGATGGTCTTTTTATATATTGTTTATACTTATATATTTGTAACAAGGAAGACAATTTTCTTGAGTTTGTAATGACTTCCTAAATACAATACATTTCAGGCCCGTAGCCAGGGGGGTTTTTAGGGGTTCGCGCGAACCCCCCTTTTTCAGCGAACCCCCCTTTTGCCAGCGAACCCCCTTAGCCAGAAAACGATCCCCCGTTTCCAAAATAGTGCAATTTATTACAAAATGAGAGCATTTTTGGCACTGTTTATTTGTCGCTATCGATCGTACTTCGATCGTAGAAATCAAAACAAAGCTGCAGCCAGCTGAATGACATAACCAGCAACACTTCAAAATGAATATTAATGAGAGGTTTGTTGCCTAGGCTATTTGACCAATTGCGTGCTCCGGAGTTTATTTACTTACTTTGGCACGACGTCATCACAAAAGTTTGGGCGCTCGACATTTTTCATTTCTCTGGGATCGAGGACATGCGACACGCCAAAAATAGCCTAGATAGATGAAGCGCTGAGAAAGGATAACCGATTTTTTTGCTTCAAGGCCAGCAACGAAGAAAATTCACCCTTGTTTTCACCACATGCTCATGATACTGCCTGGCGGCGGGACCGGTGTACTTTTTCGGGCTAGGCCTAGGTCTAGCGTTGCTAGGTAGGGTAGGGTCGTAGCCTATTATTTGCGAACGATTTTATTATTTATTTTGTAATCGAGCTAGCATAGGCCAGGGCCTAGGCTAAATAATACTTGGTAATGTTTTACGTTCCGTCAGAATTAACTGACATTATTCGTCTCTTTTTATAGGCTAGGCCTAGCCTATAGGGCCTAGGCTAGGACTAGGTTTACAATCAGTTCAGTTGTATAATTGATTGATCAGTAAACATGCCCTCTTGATGAGTCTCGGACTGTTTTGTAATAGCCTAAAGTACTGCTCTACTGGGATCTAGGCTAAGGCTAGGCATAGGCTAGTAGCACGGTAGGATAGAAGCTTCCATTGATTAAATAAGCTATTTGTTTATTTAAAAAGCTGAAATGAACAACTCCGCCCTCCTATGTATCTGTCTCTTATACACATCTAGATGTGTATAAGAGACAGGGGTAATCAACACATGTGTTTTATTAGGAACATAAAGAAGCTGAAAGATTGTTTTACGTATCAACATAATTTTTTGAATACTTATGACATAAATAACCCCGCATGTATGTTCTGTCTGCTGTATGGGGTTTGACCGATACCCCATACTTAGCTAGGGTGGCCAGCAGCCTGTTTCAGTATACTAGTAGTTTAATTTATGTTTTGATGGTCTTTTTATATATTGTTTATACTTATATATTTGTAACAAGGGAGACAATTTTCTTGAGTTTGTAATGATTTCATAAATATAATACATTTGGATTCTATGAAGGAAAAACAATAGGTACGACACTAATCATTACATTCTTTAATTGACTCCATCTGTTGAGAAACGTTTTTCTCTTTACAATAAACTAATGCAACCTGTCTTTCCATGTCATATATTTCTGAATTTCACATTTCAGTATGTGCATTATATAAGTAAACAATAATACACAAATAGTCTTCTAGACTCAAGTTTTTCTTTTAAATCTCGACAGATAAGTAAAAAATATATTCCAATCGAGATTTAAACTTTTAGTCTTGTGTAGTCGAGAAATCGCCATAGAAGATAATTTCTGGATACCTTTTTTTTCGATCCATTCTTTATAATAAACGAGGAAATCTGCCACTCATAATCTAATCACTGTTAGCCATGGAAACTCTCTGAAGTTGCCATCAATGAGCGCATTATGAACAACTTTATTCAGGCCATATGGATATTGTTGGCACGGTTGTTGTAACTATTGTCAACAAATTTAACTGGAAGTAATGTTACTAATAAAACAGTCGAATAACTTAACTAAAGCTTTGTTCACACGATCAATTGATTAAGTGACGTTTGTTCCTCTTATGCGCAACTAGAATCTTTCAATGTAAATGCTGTTATTATACACTCTCTTTTTGCTTCTAAGTATTATTCAAAGTTTAATATTTTTTGACTGTTTCATATGGTATGGTAGTCTTACAGAATAAAATAGCCTACAATTATTTATCATGTGGGTAAATATTATAATTTTTATTTTCTAAAATTTAGTCTAAATTATATTAACGCAAATTTTGTTGCTAAACTGACCAATCGGCCATATTTGTTTTGGTCTCGGATAACTTAACGCTGATTAATAACGCACTCTGGTTACGTTACTTTTCGTTCATGTCAAGGAGCACGAACCACCACAGTCGAATGGAAAATAATACTCAACGAAATATCGTAGTCAACAAATGAACCAGTCGAATAAGCCCAATCCCCAGTAGTAACTCCTGAGGGCGCACTCCACCGTGTATGTCATTGGAATTCCTTGTCGATGTAGGCCTAACCTAGGCCTAGAGAGGTGAGAAGCACGTATCTTAAGATATTTGAAAGTAGATTTGCTCACATTATGCAAAGACAATATTTTATTGTTGATTAAAAATAATATTGCATGTCTATCTAGGCTGGCGCTAGGCCCTATGTTCTATTACTAGGCTAGGCCCACCCTAACTAACTAAGCATAACCTCTCGCCTAGCGTAGTACTTAGTAGGCCTAGCCTAGCGTACCTAGTAGGGCTAGGCTAGGCCTAGTCTAGCTCTAGGGTCCAACTAGGCCTAGTTAGGCTAGCCAGGCAAGAGGCCCTAGACCTACAAAGCTGGGCCTAGTAGGCCCTAGGCCTACTCCCTCTTTTATATAGGAGAGGCTCTATTCTAAAACTTGTAGTTGTACTGTACAGTACAAACAAACTCACTAGACCTAGACTCCGAGTCCTAGTCTTGTATTTTAGGTCTAAGCACAGGCCAGAGTTGACTCTAGCATAGATAGAGAGGTCTATAGATAGAGCCTATGTAGACCTAGCTAGTAGTAGTAGTAGGCCCTACAGTACCGCCTTCGTACCACTCGTGCAACATTTTCCGCGCGTGTTAACTTCGTTTTAGTTGCGTGGTAGTAGGATCATGGACCTGTTAAACAAATATACCACAAAAATGTTGATTGTTTTGATGGGTCTGATTAGCAGGAATGAACAATGTGTTAAACTACAGTAAATTAGTCAATTTGAGTAAAAATTTCAGACATGTATCCAAGATATTATCGAGCAAAATACGCTGTGTAGTATTTTATTTTAATTGTAATTTGTACATTATTAGTAAGTTCAATCTCAAGACCGTCACTATTCCTAACACACACTGGCCTACACTTGGGCCTTGATCGACCTGCTCATCATCAGGCCCTACCGACCCACGGACTCAGTCGTAAAAGTTTATTACCTTGTTGATGTTACTTAATCCTACTTATAAGCAAGTTAATTGGCCGAGCGGTTAAGTCAGGGGCACCGTAACCTTCAGCTCTAATATCGGCGCTGGTTCGAACAGCTCACTCGCCAATGGTTGCAGTGGTGGAACAAGTCTAAGTACTCGGATAAGGACTTTAAACCGTAGGCCCGGTGTACGCAATTGGCTTGTGTGCACTTTAAAGAACCCATTACATTATTCGAGAAAAGTAGGAGGTTACTCCGGTGTACTGGTCCATTAAGTCCCCTGTTGTTAATTGGATATGCCACGTAGGACAGTGATTAAGTTCGCTTATTGGCATATCCTTGGTGCTCGTGCCTAAAGAAATGAAATTATCCACAGGTATCCATATATGTCTACACAACTGCAATGTTAATTTTCCTACATTATGTTTGAAGAAAATTAGTGCTGTAGGCCGAGAGAAGGAGGCTTATCCTAGACCTACAACAATAGGCTACAGCAGAATGCAGTAGAGTCGAAAAGATGTGCATGGGAACATCAGAAAATAATTGGCTTTCGGCCAAAAGAATCTTCTTTATATGTATTAAGATCAACTTTGTTACCCTGTCGTTTACCTTGCGCTAACTCTACGCGTTGCTAACGCATGGCTACCGCGAGACTAACATTCCGCATTCACTATTAATGTCTATAGATACCGGTATACAATCCTGAAAAATTTCAAAAGGGTACAACAATTTATTACCAAGCTGCAAACATGCAAACATGCTATTTTTCTCCAAAAGTGAAAATTTCAAGTTGCGTTGTTTTGCCAAGGAACAGCCATTGAGTTGATTAAAGGTTAGTTCTGCATTAATTACTGAATGTAAGGGAATGATACCCATCACACTAATCCTCGGCAGTGTGTGGTAGAGTGGCCAGTTCCTTTCCACGCCGGCATTTTCCTCGCCAGTAGCGTCCAAGAACACAAGCGAAATGCACAGAGAAGGAAATGCAACCACAACCACAGTAGGCATATACACTTTTTTTTTTTATAAGAACACATTTTATAAGAACACTGAGGCTGAAATTGCTTAAAATTTAAGAACAAAATAAGAACAAATTGAGGCTGAGGTAAATTGTCCAATGCGATTTTTATTTTTAAAAACTAGAAAAACCAAAAAATATAATCTGTACCTTATGTGCTTAGGTGTGACTATGTAATACCCTCTATAATACAGTACAGGAGGTGTATACCTACTTGTCATTTGGGGAAGTTTTTTTCAGTGGCCTTTTTTTTTCAGGGCCAGTTTTTCCTGGGGCACTTTTACCTACATTCCAGTACAGTGTATACTGGTACAATAATACATTTGTATGTTTGAAAAGTGTGTAATAAAAGATCATAATACAGTAAGAACATTTTGAGCCTGACATTGGCCAAAAAATAAAAACACTGAGCCTGGGCAAAATTTTACATGTTCTTATAAAAAGAAAACGTGTATGTTAGCAGTGTTTATAAATCTTCTCTCTATTTGTTAACAGGAGCTTAGCTCAACAAACCATGGTGTTTTTTTTTGACATGTAATTTCACTTCTTATCTTGCAGGTTTTTATGATGTCTTTAGATCAGCACAAGGTGTACCATGAGAAGCAGCGATGGGAAATGTGTGCACTGCATGCTCTGAATAACATCTTTCAAGATGGAAAGGCATTCAATAAACAAAAACTAGATGAGATCTGTCAAAGGTATTCTTGTGTGATTACAAATCCCGAAATGATCCTTCTTAAGGCCCTGTTCACACTATCAAATTTTCTTACAACATTTTTTTTTGTCAAAGAAAATTTGATGATGTGGACAGAGCTTTAATACTAACATAATGTTTGTTGAAAAGGTCAAAGGTTTCTGTGACAATGACATGTGATTTGCCTGTACATCCTGTATGACAGGTTCTCAACTGTTTCACAACAGGCGAGCCAAAATTTTTCGTTGAATGAATTTGAAGGGCCAGGACAAGAGGTGTACAATAGTGCGTAGTGCCATTCTAGCGCCGCAGGTGTGAGCCGAGGGTGGCTTTGGAAGGGGGTCCACCCCTTTATGAATTAGAAATTTTTTTTAATAATAAGCCGCTAGATGCTCTTAGAGGGCATCTTGACCTACTGTAAGAAAGTTGTGTTTGGTATTATATTGGTTATATATCACTCAATGCGTCATTGGTAATACAGTATTTCTTCGCTGTTTGCTGCGATAGTTCTTCAAATTTGATTGATTAAAACGCTACTACAATATGTGGGGTAATATATAGGCCTAGTCGGGAAAACAGTATGCAAACTGGTTAGAAATCTAGGCCCAAGCCTAACAAAAAATTTATTTTCGGATTTTCCCCGCGGTCCGCATAACAGGCACTCATAACAGGCCACCTCTAGCCTGCGGGCCGCCAGCTGAGAACCCCTGCTGCATGTATTTAATATGGCATAATCATGTCCATATTATGGCCAAACCACAAATATTTAGGGTTCCCAAGTTGGAAGAAGTAATTTTCCGCAAGATCTGTTTAAACATGCTTTCCTAAGGCTACGGTCACACTAGAGTCTCAAGCCTGGCTTGACTCACCGCGGGTAAGATTTCAAGCCAGGCTCGAAATTCTGGGTCGGTCACACACTACCTGAATTGGATTGACCTCCAAATTAGGAAAGTCGAAACAGGAAGTTAGAGTGCCGCCACAATCAAAATACCGGCCCCGCGTGCGAATCTAGATGATCTAGGCTCAGATGTAATGGCGATGCTAGTTTTCGGATTGATAAGTGCATTTATAAATGACAACTGATGATTGCCGACGAGGAAATGTCAATCCCGGTCACGCCAGGGTCAATCCGGGTACTGAGCCGGGATCGAGATAGGTAGATTGAGATCGAGGTCACGCCAGGCGCGAGTCGATCCAGGTGCAGTCACATTACTAAAATCTCACCCGTGGTGAGTCAAGCCAGGCTTGAGACTCTAGTGTGACCGCAGCCTAAAGCACACCAAATTTTGTTTTGCTACTTATAGTGATCCCAATCAACATTGACTTCTGTATGATAAGTAATATAGTAAAAACATGCAGATCTAATTAATTTGCAGGGGATCAGTTAATTTCCCAAAGGGAGGCCATCCCGATTTCTGGGAACCCCACCCCCCAAGTTGCGGGATACTGTTGACAACCTGGTTATTTATCACAGATAGTTGTGGACAGAATTTGAAATTCTGTTATACAAAAATAATAGCAGGGTGTTATTATCTATGCGCAGAACAATAACTACCATTGTTAATGTAGGTATTGGCAAACTCATACCCATACCAACTCGTACCCATTTTGGTGAAACCATACCCACTCGCCCTTAACATTTGCAAACTCGTACCCATGTGTATTCGTACCTTTTTACTTTGTTGTAATAGTATATCAAAATCTAATATTGTTCGTACACAAAATATTAATAAAAACATAATAATTTTTTCAGATTGGCTCCAAGTACTCGCCCAAATCCTCACAAAAGCATGTTGGGGCTGGGGAATTATGACGTTAATGTAATAATGGCTGCGTTGCAACTGAAAGAATGTGAAGCTGTGTGGTGGGACAAGAGAAGGTAGGTAACAGGAAGCTTTTGATTTGCGATGATTAGATTGTAGAAGGTAATGACATCATGTTGGGTGAGTTGAGTGGCCGAGGAGTAAGGTACAGTAGGGACACCACTAACTACAGCCTTAACATTGGCGCTGGTTCCAGCCGTTCCTCATCCAGGGTTGGGTTGGTAGAACCAAGTCGCATAAGGATTTAAAACGGAGGTCCAGTGTGCATATCAGGCTCGTGTGCACTTGCATCTTTTGGAAGGGTAGGGGGTTACCCCGATGCTTTGGTCCATTTTAGCCCCTGTCATGGAATGATGTGAACATGTAGCTACTAGAAGTGCCTCTTTATGGCGGCTGAAGCGGTCACAAACCACTCCCATATGCCATTCAGCACAATGACGCTGCGATTTATGGGTTATTCTCCTAACTTTACCTTTTTATATGTTAATTACCATTGCTTGTCTGTAGTTGGCTGATTTTAAAACCAGCACTGACGTTAACAGAGTTCAAGTGCATGGGTCTTAATGTGCGTTTCTTCACATTACTGTGTACACATCAAACAAAATTTATATAAAATAAAATATGAACTACACATGACGCCAAATCAATCACAGATTACCGATTGTACATTCTTATTCTATGTTCTCAATCAAAATTTCCCTATTGTAAAGATCAAATATCAATATTTTGTGGTGTGAAGTCATCCCTAACATGTGATACATGCATGTCTAGTTCGGTTAGTGTAGGCGTACTCTATGTGGGACACTACCAGCACTATTTAACACCTGAGTCGTAAGTGATATTCGTACACCAGTGTTGTGAACATGTGTCCCTACCCAAGGTGCTTAGTTTTGTTAGGGTTGATATGTAGGTAACCTTTGGGTAATGTCTCTACCCTAGAATACATAGGTTAAGCCCCATCCAGACCACAGTACCATCAAGAAGTTTTATTATGACAAAACATAAGGCATGCCTAAATATGGTCATGATGACATCACATCATGACCATATATAGGCACATGATTTTATACTGTATGGACATACAACCGTTTGTTAATCTGGACAAAGCTATAGATTGCGGTTTGATTTTAATTATTTTTTGTGAAAATAATGGTATACTAACATTTTTGTTACTTAAATATGTAAATTTCATTATATCTTAAATCACTCATGAAGAAAACTGATCTTCATTACAAATCCAAATAATTATGTGTGTATGTTTAACATCATGGTAACATTATGGGTACTGTAAATCTTTGAATAAGCGCTGCACCAAACATGAGTTTTTTTGCTAAGCGCCGCTCTCGAATTTGCAAGGAAACATTTTGACAAACAGGTCACATTGTATACAGTGTAATGCATAATGACACAATGAAGACACAAGCTTTTCTTTTTAAATGTTCATTTACGATGATGTAGGACCTATGATAGGCCTACCGAACTACGGGAATATGTGCGATATGTAACATAGGAACGGACATGGAAAGCGCCACACCAATATTTTTTATAAACGCCGTTCTCAAATAAGCGCCGCTCTCGAATATATGTTTTACTGAAACCTCCAAAAAAGTTGCCGCAGAGCTTATTCAAGGATTTACGGTATGTTTAATATCACTTCATTTTAACTATATGGGAACGTACTGAGCATTTAGTACGATACCACATCAATTAGGGCAAAATATCATTCCTATCAATTTAACTTTAACTTTAATAACTTTATAAAATGCTTCATATATTTATTTTTTTTTGCTTACAGAAATCCCAGTGAATTAAATTTGCCGAACATCATTGGCTTCATAGTGAACACAACATCACCAATCCAATTCGGATACGTTGACTTACCTTTCAAACGCAAGCACTGGATAGCACTTCGCCAAGTTGACAACACTTACTACAACCTAGATTCAAAGCTATCAAAACCAGTTGTGATAGGCTCCCCAGAAGAGCTCCTAGATTACTTAAAGAACGGAATGAACTTAAAAAGTTGGGAACTCCTTCTTGTGGTCTCGCAACAAGTTTCTGAGACGAGGACTTGGTTGAAATCAAGTGATCAGTTATAGGATTACTGTTAAGACGGGCACTCCCTGCGGCCAATGTTTGTTCGCCGATACGATTATATGGACGCAACGCCACAATGCGCATACTACGGATCTTTTTTAATGACGATCCCATCAGACTGTCTTTCTAAAATCAGCAGATGGTGTCACGTCATCTAGTGCTCAACGGGAGCAGAGTTAGAATCGTCGAACAATCGTCGCATGACCGTCCTATGGCACAGTGCGTGTCTGGCTTTACGCATCGATTTTCGTATGCGCTGGGAGTTTTCGTCAGAGCTTGGAGTTTACTTGAGAACTTTGTATTCTGTTTTCATGGAAATTATTTATTTTTGTTATTGATAGGATGCGCGTATAAACGCGTATTATATTTATCAAAATGTATATGGGATACTTAATCATGAAAAGTAAAGTGGCGGATACTATTGTAGGGGCAGCAAAACAAGCACTCACCCTCCCAAACAGCAAACAGAAGTTCTTGAAATGGACAAAGCTCTAAAGTTTTCATGGGGCACAGCTTCTTGACTGCCCAAAATAGGAAGGGAATAGCCAACTTTCCCCCATCTGACCCTAGGTCCCACCCATATCGGGTCATAGGCTCATGATTGCTGTTCATGCCCTGGCAAACACTGAAGTCTGCTTGCTTTAGGACTGTTTTTTTTAACTTGATCGGGGATTTTTTTAGGATCAATATTATTTCTGTATTTCAACTACTTAATCATCGTGGTAGAATTTTATTGATACTGTATACTGTAAATTGTATACTGCTGTTGGATATATTCTTTGAATTGTAGTCAATTTTATTGGTCAATTCCACTTGGACCATGGTACAATATTTTCGCTACGACTTCCCTGCGCGTGCATATGCAGGGAAAAAATACTACCAAAGTTAGTATCGCAGGCCTAGCTACATTACATGAATTGTATGCAAACTGTAATTTTACCTGCTCAGATCAAAATGGCTAATGTAGATGCCATTACAATACCAGCCTACTATTACTAATTGTTAAACTGAGTAATTAGTATTAGAATATGGCAGTATTTTGTACAGAGAAGCCGTAATACTTTTACTCATAACTTTGGCAGTAGTAAGTCAATTCCAGTAAAATGATTAACTCATCATTTTACAGTGATGTGAAGAATATAAGTATATTAAAAATTCATTTTTTGGTCACAATGCTGGTTTTTGGGATGACAATGAGAACAATATAAGATATGACAACAGCACTTTAAAATATATGACAACCAACTATAAAATTTATTAGTTTTAGCTTTCATCCACACAGTTTATGATTATAGTAGTCTTTAAAGTACTGTTGTTCTTATATTATACAAAATATTGATTGACAGGGCAAAAGTACTATACAGTACTAGAATTATTGAACTATCTTTCAAACCTGCCTCATAGGAGTGATGGTTGAAGTTATTACACGCTTTTTAACCAATCAGATGCCTAGAATAACTATTAATTAGGTACTGTAATATCATTGGTCAATTCACCCTGGTAAGGGATGCGGTAGTTATTACTACTTTCATGCACATGCCAAGTTTATACATGCGTGGGAAAAAAAATTACTACCCAAAATCGACTACTGCACACCTGCCTACCTGAACTGCGTAATTTTACCTGCACAGATCAACATGGCTGATGTAGAGGAACGGTTTGTTGTTTAATATTTATGAGGTACAGTAAAAAATACAACATGCTTGTAAGCAGTGAATACCACTTCCCTCAGTGGAAATATAATACAGTTACTACAGTTACAAATTCAAAATTATAAACAAAAAATATTTTGTTATATTTTTTATTTTCTCTTGGGGGATGATCGCCCCTTCGCCACCCTTCAATCTACCGCAAAATTTAACTTTAAAAAAAAATGTACTAACAAACTTTTACAGACATGCATGTTTTAACATTTTATTAAAATGGGCAGTAAAATCACTGATAACTTTAACAAATACTTGCATATTAGTAACAAAGCAAGAAATGTGTTAAAAAATTAATCACAAGCAACTCTATATTTTATATATATTTGACCTCATTGTTGTTGATGTCGGTATTGCAAGGGATTTTGCTACATCGGAGGAAAATAAAGACTTAACATTGTTACAGAAAACAATAAAAGTTTAATATGTATTTATATTGAAAGTCCATATTTTGTTAATAGGTTTTTAGTACTGTATCACGATATAATTATAGACCTTATGTGAATATTAGGGAGCTCTCGTTTTGTGTCACGACGCGGCGCTAGATCATAATCACTCATGCGTGACCGTCCTACCTGGCGTCCTACGTTCTCTGCATACGTAGATTTGGCCAAATTGCGTTTCAGAAACTACTCGACGTTCTCGCATGCGCAGATGACTTTTAGTGACGTCATTACGTTCTACGTCCTACCGTCGTTGTGCAATCGGAAGCTTCTTATTGTGTCAAAACATATACAAGCTTCCCTCCAAATACTGACCACTTTTTGGACCGTGGTGTCCACGGTTTTTAACAGCTTTGGTCACTGAATAGAATAATAAAGATGAGATATTTGTTCATTTGGGACCTCAAAAATATGGTCTTTAACTGAGGGTTTTTGATTAGATGGAGACCAGTATTTTATAACAAAAATCAGCAACTACGTCTGTATGTATAGAGAATAGATGTCTATGTCAAAGCTGGCGGCAGTGTTTGACTGGGGGACCGTTTTCTCAACGGGGGAGGGGGAGTGCCCGATGTTTCAGACAAAAGAATAAGTAGGCATAGTTGGACGTCGCTCAAAATCTCAGAAGTGATCCAGGGGCGAAGCCATGAAAGTATGACAAAAATGTAAAAATTACATACAATTATGTTTTCTCTCCACTGGTGCCACCCCTGGTCTATATTAGAAACTTGGGAGTAAATGGATGTTGATTATCCATTTACCTTGATCTTCATAATAATAAGTGGCATTTTTAAAGTACTCCATATTAAATAGTCAGAACCTAGAACGTATGCTTGTCATCATATGGGCGAATGAATCAATAATAATAAAAGCAATAATATCTCGTTATTCAATGTGGCGCAAGTTGGGTCTGGTCGATGTCCACGATGCGAGTATAAATTGGCGGAACTAAGGTCCCGTCCAAGGAAGAAAGGTCCGTCAATTTGAGTACTTTGTAGATTTAATAAGCATTTTGTAGAATGAGGTCTTAGCTTAGTACTGTATAATTACCTTTTGTAGAAAAATCACAAATTCTTATAGAAATGTCCATTATGTTTACTGATAAACGTATTTGTTCACATGAAACAAACGCTCAAATCTAAAGTCTTGAAAATCTGAATGAAAGTATGGTTAAAAGCTAGTAGGGTTAGTGTGTATGTCAAGTGCGGAAACATTTTCGTTTCTTAACGTCCGATAGGAAATTATTAGGAAATAAGAAGGGTTATCATAGGATTCAGAGTCCCAAGAATGTTGCCTTTTGGACCCATGGCCTCGGATTTTGGCTGCACAACTAAACAACATTGACTCCTCTATTGCTTCCGTAGTAATTGAATAACCACATTGCCTCGTCATATTGAGTCACTTGACAATACTTTGTTGAATCAGTTCCTGCATATTGAGGAACACCGATGAATTGGTAACTTGCGAATTTGGTTCCTTGAATGAATTTACACACTCATTAAGTAGCACCGACAGTTTGTCCATAATTTCTTTTGGAGGAGACCGTAGTAAACCAGGATGAAGGCTGTCCCCTAAAAATATTTTCCTGCAAACGACCTGTAAGACAAATATAAGGAAATTATGTTAAATCACGCTTAAACTTTTCATTTTGTACGTAGACAAAGTGGGGAAAATGGCTTTGCCATCCCTCTGATACCTTTCGATGGTGCATGTATAGAGGTGTTACAGGTTTTGATTAACACACGAAGAACTGAAAAAATATAAATGTGTCAATGTTTAAGGTGTCGAGAAAAGTCTAATTACTTTGTACAAGAAGCTTGTAAGCATAATTGATGGAATACAAACCAGCATTGACATTGAATTAAAGGCTTGATAGGCATGGGTTGAAATTTATATAATTTAATTAAGCATAATTGTCATAATAGTTGAATCCTATCTTCAAACTTACTTGAAAGTTTGAATTTTTCCTGTGAGGCTTACATTTTCCTGTATGTTCGTCACATTCTGTTATGCAGTCGAAAAATCTACAAGACGTGGCTTCCGTTTCCTTTGTGCATTTTCTCTTCCTTATAAAACTTTCCACTGTCGATTTGTAGTAAGCCATATCCACATCAATCGCCTTTACCGTCAGATCATCCGTGATACCAAAATTTGGGTGTTTTATGTCGCAAAAGTAAAACGGCTCGTGAAAATCTACTTCGAAGTTTCGTAGCATTTGCATGAAATTCGATGCAAGTTGTGCTCGACGATCCCAAGTCCAATATTTTAGTGCCGATACTTCTTGCAGACCGGATGCTCCGGGGTTCAATGTCCATGGCGGCGGCGTATATTCCACAACGTACATGTGCCCACAAGTACCGAAAACATCTGGAAAATTTACCATGTTTCTATAGAATTGAAAAAAGATGTATTCTCTTTGTGAAGAAAGAGAACCAACGCTTACAATTTCCGCTTTTTTAGATTTGGACGTATTCCCAGTCCACAGTCGCTGGTAAATTTCGTCAAACGTTAGTTTATTCTTCGGCTGAACATACTTCGTTATCTGGTTGTTAAGTCTTATTCGCAACAAAGTGGAAATAGTGGTAAGTTTTTCATCAAATGCATAGTCTTTATCTAGGCTGATTCTGAGCTTTTTTAGGTCGTTGTTGAAGTTTTCAAGGTATGGTTCAAGAGCCTTGAGCATCACAACGCGTCCTTTCCACTTCATCTTTAGGGCTAGCTTACGATGTCTATAGTTGAAACAATCTCTGTACTGAAATTCCTCGTCAACACACAATGCATGGCATACATCACCATCTATGAGGCCATCATTGTAATGGTCACACTACAAAAAAGAGAAATATACTCAACTGTTTTAGTGAGTGCACATTTTAACAAACTTAAGCCACTTGATAATGCTAGAGCTTAGTTTTTAATACTGTATTAGGAATCACTTCAGAATCAGTGGCACTCGTCCAAGTGGTGCATATACTGGCAAAAGGAAAATCTTAACTGAATTTATTAATTTGAAAGGAATAATATGAAAAAAAAACTTAATTCTACAAATCATCTTAAATAAGGTTTAATGTAACCGTAAATTGTCGTTAATTATAACTAAACCTTTTTTTTTTTCACGCGGCTTTAACTAATTATCTATTCTCAAGGTAGGACTGGTGCATCTCAAAAAAACTTCATGAGTATGTAATGGCGCCGCCAGCGTCAGGCTTTAGGCTCTTAGTTTACATTGCTAGTTTTATCGTGTAAGCGTATTACTGGGTAAGCGAATGCCCTGCGTAAACTTCACTAAAGCGAATGATATGTTTGTTTTTTTTTTTGGGATATGTTTTTTTTTGGGGGGGGGGGGAAGGGGAAACCCGAGGGTCAAAAAATTCCCCTCTCCAGTGTATGTTTATTCCCCCCTCCTGTGTATGCTGTGTTAACGAATAGGTTTCTACCCTACCGATGCATCTTACCAATTTGTAAATCACATCCTTAGACCAGTCTTCGTCACAATATATAACGAACAACAATTTGTATAAGAGGAGTACAGAAAGTGCTCCAAGTATTAATTTGAGTAGGCTCTTTCTTGAGCAGAAGCATCCCATTCTACTTTGCTACTAGCAGGATGGGTAACATCAAGTGCGAGTACAACTCAACTGGCACAGTACATCGACTCTAGCATCAATAGCAGAATTACCATCCTTGACTGTAAACAAATGCAGTACCGGTAAGTCTTATAGCTGTCTCTTATCCACATCT